CCCAAAACCCCAAAACCCCAAAACCCCAAAACCCCAAAACCCCAAAACCCCAAAACCCCTGTTAGACTGTTTAAAATTGAAGGTTAAATAACTTATTTTGTAAGTCCTTTTGATTTTGCTTCTTCAGCGGATTGGAGAGAGCAACTGAAATAAGCGTTTGGATGGTTTCCAACATTGTCTTTAGTGTCGATTTTATGAGTGGCGTCCCAAAGTTTGATGCATGCTACTTGGGCAGCTCCTTCTCTCTTCTTTTCCATGATTTCTAGTAAGTTTCTTGATTGAATATCATACTTTTTAGTCAAGAAATCGCTTAATGTCTCGTCTTTAAAGTACTTAAAAGGGCATCCATGGTATTCACCAGATCCAGGAATTTGACTAATGATCTTACTGCATGACCAAGGTGTGTAATCAGTTCTTTTTCCTTCTTTACCAAAACTATGTCTGACATTATAGGCATATTCCTTATCAAACTTTTCACCGTTGATTTTTCCTGCAAATTTTCTCTTCCAGAAGCTCATACTCTCTTCTAAATTTAGTCCAATTCCTTTAATAAAAAGTCCATATTGAAGCCTTCCAAAGTGCCTCAAGTGATGGTTATCTGTAAGCTTGCTATGAAGAACCTTCATACATGGTGGGTAATGGGCAGATCTTGCAAAAGTATCAATATTAGCTAAGTTAACCGACCCTCTCACATTTGATTTCTCATCATACTCAAAATCAAGAAGTTCCTTCCTGGAAACATACTTCAACAGCTCTGCTAATCTCTGGTCTTTAGCAATAAGAGGTAAGTGTCTATTGGAGTAAATTAGAGCTTCTTTGAGCTCATTCCTAAACTCCTCTGAGATAATTGTGAATAGCTGTGAAATATGCAGGTATATATTCCCTTGATGCACAAATCATCTTCTGGTGCCTACTAAGGCTAGTGCGGATGTAAAGCTAAACCTGCAATATTGCGTTCTTAAAGAATTCTGCTTGCTTCTAATGTTCTTAATATCTAATAAAAGCTGCTCTTTTTCAGTCTCATTTACAGTAGCTTTCAATTCTGCGGATTTTCTCTCAAGTGTTTCTTTATCTGAATAAGAAATTTTATCCCAAGCGATCTTGTATTTCAGAGCCTCCCATTCATCTACAGGAACTTGATCATACTTGATGTTCTTTTCTTCAAGTAAATTCTTAAGGAGTAGTTCGTTCTTAGATGTATGAGCAAAGAGGACATGCTTGAAGAGTCTAGTTTCTTGAACTGAGAGCCATCTTCTGAAGTCATCATTTCTGCAATAAGCCAACCTCAGCATGAAATGGGCAATTATATCATTGTCTATGCTCTTTTTGTGTTCAGGGTTTCCATCGTATAGTTTAAGATCAATATCCTGCTTTGCTAATTTAGAAAGTAGTTTCTGGTGGATCTTTTCAAATTCATCTCCTACCTCTGATTCCATTTCTACTAACTTAAGACATGCAACTCTCTTGAAGCATAGGGTTTCTAGTTCGTCCAAGTTAATAATTTTGCTTGGTGTTGACTTGTCGAACCCTCAGAATTTTTTTAAGAAGGTAAGCTCTTCATAAAATGGTATGTAGGGAATTTGTAGTTTAGACTCCTCTTCCATCTTGATTTCCCGCTTTTAATAATTTATCAAATTCATCTAAGTTTACTTTAAATGGGGTTTTGGGGTTTTGGGGTTTTGGGGTTTTGGGG